GAAACCTGTTACTATTGCTAAGACATGCATCGCTGATGAAAGATCTTTCCATAAAGTTTGGAAAAAATCGAACAAATTGAGCCTTATGTTTGTGCCAATGACCATAGCAAGCAACATTAAGCCAACTCTTCCACAAAAAGATATAACTACTAAACCATTTTTTGATATAATGGAAGATCGTTTTGAAACTGTTTACAAGTCTCTTGCTGGGACATTAATGGCTGAGTTACCACCATGAAATTTGATAGTACACGTACAATGCATGATCATGTCAACCAAATAAAGTTTCTCCACTTATTCAACAACACAATCCTTCAAAATGTCCTTCCACTTTGCCCCTTTTTTTTTCAAATAACCTTAAAAAAAATCATAGAAGTTCTCATTCGTGAAGAAGGATTTTTTGCACTAAATGAATGCATTTGTGTTGCAAAAAATGATATACCTTACACAAATTAGATTGGATCAATAATAGTAGAAATAATATAACATTAAAATCAATGTATGAAAAAACTAACATACCGAATTATTTTGTAAAGTACTAGATGTTTTGTGAAGATAATAGATGTGAACAAATTGATTGTGAAGATCATGCCTGTGAATACACTGATTATGAAGATAAAAGTACCTTAACGACAAATAATCTACAAATCAATATTGTCATATGTTAAGTAGATATAAAATAAGTATACAATATTCGCTGTGTCATACTTTGGACATATTAGAAGGTTGTGAAACTACTTTCTTTCTCTTAGCTTCTCATGTCTCGGCTTTAATCGATCCCAACTTTTGTATATGTTTATATGAAAAATTCAGTCTCAAATTTTTAAACTCGGTTCGTAACTGGCCCAAAGATTAAACTCATGATCATGAGTTTTGTCAAACCTAGGGGGAGAGTGGGTTTGAGAAGATGGGTAAGGGTTAAGGATCCAAAAGATAATTGTAACCCTTAATATGGGTGTAAATTGGATTGATCAAGGGTAAAATAATTATTTACAGAATAAATAGATGTTAATAATTATGATATATCCGTGGATCCTATATTTGTATGTGTTGCATACCAAACATAGGTATGGACCATATTGAATATTGAATCTCATCTTTGCAATGAGGGGTTTGGGTTTGGAATAGTTTGCAAAAGGTAATCCAAACTCCTCAAAATTTATTCAAACAAGCTTTATGGGTCACCAATTTGAGCCAAGTAGGCTCAAAACAGATGGGGAGTGTCAACTGCACATCTATAGATGCAGATTGGACATTGCCCATCCAAGAATATTTAAAAAAAGACACGATCCTAGACGACCCAAAGGAAGCCAAGAAGCTGAGACTAAAAGCATCTAGATAAGTTATCCTACAAGATATCTTTTATAAGAGAAGCTACTCACTGTCATTGCTCTATTGCCTTTCCCTAAAGGAATCCAACTACACCATTAGAGAGATTCACAAGGCAGTGTGCGTAAATCATTCTAGAGGGTGCTCTCTTACCCACAAGGTAGTCAGACAAGGCTATTACTGACCTAACATGATCAGGGATGCTCGCGACTTTGTGAAAAAATGCGACAAGTGACAACGCTTGGCCACTATGCCGAGATAACTACTACAAGAATCGACCACCATTATCAGCTCCTGTCCATTCTCCAAATGGGGTGTCGAAATCCTAGGTCCTCTGCCAATGAGCTAAAGCCTGTGCAAATTTGTCATGTTAGCCATCGACTATTTCACAAAATAGGTAGAAGTTAAGCCCTTGGCTAGGATAATGTACAAAACATGGTGTGTAGATTTGGAGTGCCCCACACCATAGTAAGTGACAACACCAAGCAATTTGATAACAAGCTCCTCAATGCTTTTTGAACCAACTTTCAAATTAAATAACCCCAGTCCAGTCCAGCCCATCCCCAAGCAAACGGATAGGCTGAGGTCACTTTAAGAACCATATTATGCAATCTAAAAGCTAGGTTGGAGAGTGCCAAAGAACTATGGGTAGAAGAATTCCCAGGGACGTTGTGGGCATAACAGACAACACCTAGGAGCCCTACTAGAAAGACTCCTTTCTCCATCACCTTGGGCATTGAATTAGTCATACTTGTCGAGATTGGAGTCCACTCACTAAAGTTCTAACGCCATGATCTTAACAAAAATGAAGAAGGTCTTGGCTTCAACCTTGACTTGATAGAAGAAGAGAGAGAGTTGACCACAATTAGAAATGCAGAGTACAAGCGTCGCAAGATCAAATACTATAACTTGAGGGTGAAACCTCGCTCCTTCTTACCTAGAGACTTGGTCTTTAAAAAGGTGATACTAGCCAACAAGGACTCATGAAAGGGGAAATTAATACCAAACTGGGAGGGGTCATACATTATGCTAGAGATTGTGAGACTAGGCACTTATAGAATCCAAAATTCTGAAGAAAAAGTTTTGCTTAATCCATGGAATGCTAAACACCTGAAGAAGTATTACCAATAATGTGACAAAATAAAGGTAGTAGAACGGCCACATACCCATCGGTGTTTATCACATGTAGTTATCAAATAAAGCCTCAAGGATTCATCACAGAAATTGTCTTACTTTTCATTTCATAAAAAGTTCAGAAACAAAGCATAGATAAAAAAAAGAGGGAAAATGTAAAGATGAAATCTATCAAACATCTTCCTCAGCCCTCTGGCCACTTTCATTGTCATCGCCTTCTTCACTGCTTCCTGATCTGCTGCTTCGCTATTCTGAATGTTATGAACAACCTTCTCTGCAACCTCCCTCATTCTTTCCATCTTCTGTGAGTCAGCCTCTAATCTAGTAGCCCTCTCATGAGCTACCCAAAAGCTCTGCCTTTGCTCTGGTAGCCCTTTATGAGCTATGTAAAACTCTGCCTTTGCTACGATAGTCCTCTCAAAAGCTACCCACAGCTCCACCTCAACCTTTAGCTTTGCCGCTCTCTCACGAGTAGCCAAAAGCTTTGCCTCAAGAGGTATAGCTCTCTTTGAGCCACCTTCAACTACTCCTCAATAGCCCTTAGTGGCTGCCTCTCCCTCATCAAAGTCATCGATACACGCTTATGCTGGTTGGTCCTCGCAAAAACACACATAGCAGCAGTGGACACCTACAAANTTATTGTGTCCAACATTTTAAGTGCACGACTACATACTATCCCAACCATTTCAAACTTTTCACAACCAAAATTAACTATTTTCTCAAAGCACTTATCCACACAAAAATGCTCTCTCTATTCTTTAAATAACCAATTGATGTTGTTGCTCTAGAATATTACATGGATTCACAATAGCACACTGAAAATATATCATACTCTTCATGAAATAGATCAAACACATGAGAAGTGTAACATTGTCCTGTTTGCACCAACATGAGAGCTCTTTTGAACTTCAGTCTTGGTAAATTTTGCCTAGCATGGTACTCTTCCTCTGACTCCAAATATCGTTTGTCATTTACAACTCTATCAAAGTGAGTAAAGAATTGAATTATATCAATCATGATCTGGTTTTAAGAACTCGTGCAATTTTGCATTCAAATTCTCATTAAGTTGGGTTCTCCCCATATATTTTATGAAAGTTCTCTTCATATACACCTTAGCCTATTTTTCCCTCAAATTATTTAATTTAAAATAAATAACCTAAATTTATAAATCGTTATGGTAGCCTTACCTAACGTAAAAAGCTTAAAATGGAAATATTTTGCATATTGTACTGCATTATTAATGCTAGAAGTTGACGTTAATCTGGAAAACAAGAGTTGCATGAGTACGCCAACTTTCACATATCAATTAGATTAGATTAGACAAAAAAACCAACAAATATCAGAGGTCTAACTGCATTGTGTGGGCCTCATAAAAATGTGTAGAGACAAATTTGAAAAGAAAACTATTTTTTTACAACATTAGACAATAACTTACGCGAGAGAAAATTTCAATACATAAAAAGACGTGTTCTTTTAATTTAAAGCCTTTTTTTTTGAAAGAGATATAAAAATTAATAACATTCTCATATCTCTTTAGATTTTTCATAAATTGTATGTATATGAAAATTAATGTTACCTCTATCATTAACACTCTTGCAAGTTTTATTCAAAGCAGGGATCTTGATGATGATGCTTTGAAGGGGATTGGATTACAGACTTGGTGTTCGGTGGTTACATGTTACCCCTTACAATAACCCAAGGAACACATATATATATATATACTACTACTACTACTACTAAAAGTTTTTCGCATGAAAAATTTTTGATTTAATATTTTATTCTTATAAAAAATTATAAAGACTGACATGTTTTTTTATATTTAAATATGAAGATTACCATTATATCCCTCTAATCTCTTAATAAGACATATAAAAAAATTATTTTTTTTCCAAAATTCTAATATTAATACATATCAACAACTTCGTTGATACAATATTATCTCTAGTGCCAAAAAATCAATATATGTATCTTTTCATACTATCTGTAAGTTCTACTCCAAATATGTATGTAATTGTGGTCTCAGCTCAAATTTTCACTGTTACGTTATCCCAAGTATTCAATCTCAAGAAACAAAAATAAGATCAAATGTTTGGCCTTGGTTTGAGGTTTTAATCCTTGCATGTTGAAGCATGACGTAAAAACAGAAAGTAATAAAAGTATACATCTAATGGTTGCAAGGTCTCTCAATCCATCAGTATTAGACAAATTTATTTTCACGCTAGGATTCTTTAATGAACATTTAGCCTGATCAAACCAAAAGTCAAGAGCACCAATTTAGAGACATATATATATATATATATATATATATATATAAAACAAGGATAGATTATCGTGGTGGAAGATAATCTAAAAGTGAAGAAAATAGTCAATAATGAGATCAAATGAGAAAAAATATCGACCAAAACACCTCAATATATTTTTAAACACGAACTGTGCATCTTCTAATCAAAACACCTCAATAATTTCGGTTTCCGTCTCGACTTCTTCGTTGTGAGACACAACTCTTTGTGTTGGTTTTTTTTCCTTGAGATTTTTCAATGGAGTATGTGCATGGAAATGTGTTTGTTGGAAGGGTTTCACAGGAGACAGACGAAGAGACTCTGAAAGAGCATTTTGGGAAGTATAGGGAGGTGAGAGAGTCTAAGGCTCTCACAGACAAAGTGACAGATTACAGAAGAAGGTTCGGTTTCGTCACTTTTGCAGACCCATCTGTAGCTGGCAGAGTCCTTCAAGACGAGCATATCATTCTTGGAAGAACGGTAATACAAGGCTACTCTCTTCTTTGATAAAGATTCTTAATTTCTTTTTTTGCATCCACTGATGATTTTTTTCTCTGGGTTTGGAGAGGTTTTTCTATTCTCTCTAATTGTTGTGAATAGATTTTTTAAATGATGAATGATGATTATGTAACCATAAAGGTATAGGTGAAAATAGCAAAACCCAAACGTGGGATGCGCACACATTTCACTTAAATTATCAATTCATATATATATATATATATATGATCCGAGAACAAGTAAGAAATTTGTCACAGATAAAAAAAAAAATAGAATATGAATACGTCCATTAAAAATAGATATTATATTTGTTTTATCATGTAACGGCTTGACAAAAATAATTTTCGGTGATTATTTAACAATAATAAACAATATTATCAACTTTTTATCTTAAAGAATGTGCATGTCATCTCATTTGACCGTTAACAAGTTTTCCTACTAGAAGATAAAGTCACATATTGGTCCATTACATAAGATACTTGCTTGCCAAGTAATTCCGGTCTAGATTGCTTCTGATGCATGTAGACTATAGGAGGCAGGCTGGCACACTGATCTCATAATTAAGGCTACATGTATATGATTGCAAACCATCTAATAGTCACATGAGGGTCAGCTCACATTTTGGTGGGTTGCAAAGCATTGTACACGAAACATGTATATAATACTTAACATATAACGTAGAGCCTAGATAATTATATAAGATAGTCCCTGATTACACAATACTCAATCTTTATATACAAATTCATAAATATATATATATATATATATATATATCATCGGTGCTTGGTGGAAGGAAATTGATCATCAACCACATCATTTGGGAGGATTACGGGATGGGGTTTAGCTATGCATTCATGGCGTTATCATTCTCATTTTCACCTTGCATGGAATAAGCTTATTTTTTTTGCATCCATGTAAGTTCTTTCTGGATTTTCAATTTACATTGTTTTAATTTCAGCACGCAAATAACACGTGATGCACATATGATCTTTGTTGAAAGGTTGAGAGACTGTTGTGACGCTTAATTGAGATAAAATTCAGGAATGAATTGTACCACAACAAGGTTTTGACAAATGTGTTTGACATATTGAATCAACGTCCAAATGGTTGTCTATGTTCAATAATCCATCCAATATGTATACATGAACATACATATCACCAAAGTCACACCATGCTTATAGTTTCTAAAACTATGTACAAGATGGACCGACAATGTGACATCGAATCTGATTCACTGGGCATTTCTCGTGTCTTTTGTGATGGAGAATTGTAGTCACTTGGCTATGAAAAGTATCTTGGTTTTTTTGTATTTTAGGAATCTTTAAGTATCAATTATAATGTAAGAAATTTAAACATGTTATTTTATTTTTATTGATTAGGATGAAAAAATTAAAGCTTCTATGTAAAATGTCAATTGATTAACCATCAAAAGTGTTATTTTATTATAATTAACGATAGATTAAATACATATATTTTAAGATTATATGTGTTATATTGCCAAATTTTTTAGGTTGATACTTGCTCTAGTTGTTTATCTCATTTTGTAGATAATGCGGATGATTTGTGATGATAATAAAGTGATCAAAATTTAGAAAACAATGGAGAAAAGATTCAATTAGAATAAGGGATAATTTGATGAAGAAAAGAAGTTCAGAAAATTTTGGAGCATAAACACGCATTGGTGGGAATTTGACAAGGAAAGATTTTGACACTACTTTGGTATTTTGATCATAAATTTTACTCTGATGTCTGATTAACCTGATCTTTGTGGCATTGGAACATAGACTTCAAGGGGTTTAAAAGTGTATTTCATGAAAATTTCGTGAATTGACTTCTTACTATTAAAATCGAGTTGAAAGTTTGAACAAAACCTTACCCGCGTTTAGACGGTAGGAAACTCGCATTCAGAAGCAACAAGTAGACGACCAGCATAAAGTAGTGCATTTAGACAGCTCAAAGCATGCGTCCAGATGCAATTGATAAATTGGCAAAAAATGAGTCTTTTACTCTATTTAGTATTTTTAGTTTCCTATTCCCTATAAAAGCTCTTGTAAAACTTAATTGGGAATCATTTTACCTTCAGCTTCTGTTCTTTAGTGTTTGTTTTATTATGGATTGCTACATTCCCAACTAAAGCTAGGGGTGAATTTTTTAATGAAGTACGATATTTATTTTTTATTCGATGTTCTTGAATGCATGATTTTTAAAATTTGATTACTTCATGTCATTTAGTAAAGTTTGTGCTTTGTAAAATCTCTTGATTCGTTGTGCTATGTACATCGAATATCTACAAGTCAAATAATTAGTTTTGCATGCTTAGGTTAATTAATTGGGATTTTCATAAAATAACTGACTTCTTATTTGTAATAAAAGGAGATTTTTAACTGTTGGAGATCTTGATCCATTGTCGACTCCAGACATGGTGATTGTTTGTAATCTATAATCAAATACTAATTTTTATCCAAGTAATTTAACAATTATATCTTTGTATGTGTTTTTCATATTATTACCGCCAAATTTTCTGATTAAGATCACTCCTTAGCTAATTCTTAATTGAGTTCGAAAATCAAATCATAAATAATTATTGTGCGGAGTTAGAAGGGGATCTCTGACACTTTAGTATTCTTAAGTACTGATTTAAATTCAAAATTTACTGTTCTCTTGAACAATCAAATCTTTCACAAAACCTTTCAAAATAAATTTTACTTTTTATTTCTTTGTGTTCCAAATTGATCATCAATTCTCGTTCGACCTCGGACTTCCAAGTTTTATTATTTCGCGACAACCTACAATTGGGTAATACATATTTAAAGTTCTAGCACCCACCCTAGACAATTGTTTGGCTCTGCCTCCACTAATATCCATTGATTTTTTGAGTTGTAGATCTGGTTATCTTTGACTAATGTTTTGTAAATTATTTTTGGTTATATATGACTGATGTTTCAACATGTTAACAACTCCCCCAGTATATAGTTAGACCTAGATGAATTTGATCTCACACAATAACCACTTCATTTGTATTTCATTTGGATTGATGTTCTTTGAGCTAAATGGTGTTCTTTGACCTACTTGAAACTGCTAAACACTATATATTTCTTACACTACAGGTATTTTTTTTATTTGAAATTTAGTTAGAGCACTTAAGAGGCAACAAGAGTCCAGGTGGTATGGAGGCGCACCTTACAACACTCAGCTTCCAAGGTCGCTTGAGTATCAAGATGCTTGCTCGAGCGCCTTTCACATTTGGCCACTTCTTTGTTTTTAAAAACTATTTTAACACTAAATCTTTCAAAAAACAATTTCAATAATAAAAAACTTAACTTAAATATGATCGCACTCAGGTTATCTTCATCCACAACTCAAACTTTTATTCAAATCTACGTAAACTTACAATTCAACTGAAGAAGATTTCAACAAAATAGAATAGAATTGTTTAGAATCATTTATTTGTAACTTGTGGTTCGATACATCCTTTGAAAACCTAATTTTATCGGTTGATATAAACATTCGATATGCTGCCCACCAACACCAACATCAATGATAAAACTAACCACCTACACATCAAAATTAAAAGAAAAAAAGATTCAAACTATCCAAGAAGAGTCATACATACAGGTGTTACTACCATCCAGGTTGTAAGAGGAGTACGAGGGCATTATTTTGCTTTTGGACACACAAAAGAATATCCATGGGGTGGCTATGTCTCCATGTATTAGAACATGATCAGTTTTCCAATACACGGTGCCAAATCCGATACAAACCAAAAAAATTCGAATAAGTTTGACCAACAAATTCAAGTTACAATCAGTGAAGTCAAGTTACAATTTACACAAGTTAAAGTAGCAATTCAAAGTTTCAGATTGATCCCAGCTTTTTAAAATTAATCTTAGCGAATTCATTTGAATCATAACTAATACATTTAATTTATAATTTCATCTTATTTGGTCATAATATTCCCTTTAGTGTCAGAAAATTCGTTATTTAATGGAATTAGCTTTGTCTAACCAGTCACTAGTACCAATTAGAACTGTCAAGTCATCAAGTAGAACACGCCGGTCTTCTATCAATCCACTAGATCTTCTAGTAGAAGAATATTAATCCCCGAACAAAAAAAAATGGGTACCATACTGTTAAGTTTCACAAGTTTTTTGGGTTGAGGCATAAGTTTTTGGGTTTGTTTATAATCCAAAATTTTACATTTTTTAGGTCATGTTACAATTTTTAATTAAAATTCGAGCTATTATTTTTCTATGTGAATTATCGACTTTTGTGGTAACTTTCGATCCCAAGTTACCATAAAAGCTGTAAATGAACCTCAAAAATTATTTTAAAAAATCAAAAAAATGTAATGATAGTATGGTACCATTTTAGGTCAATGGATTAGTCATTTTCAAAGTTAATTTTTTTTTTTTGGGTTAATAGCACTTTAGGTCCCTATAGTCTGTATTTTTTTATTAGTTAGTTCTCCTTTAGAGACTAAAAATGTTATTAACCCTTTTTTTTTTGTCCTCCACTTTAATGGTTCTATTATATTCTTTTTCACGGTTCTCTTCATCCCTATGTGCTTTCACATGTGTAACGTGTGCATTATTCAACAATTGTAATGGCCGGCTATTCATTGTAATATGTGATTGGTAGAGTTTGTAGGTAATTGGATGAGTCACAAAGGTCTTAAAGTTTATATATCAACGAATAACATTAACATGTGTTGACACTAAAATTGAAATTCATACATCTCCCTTTCTCTCATTATATCTATATCAAGCAAGCAATAATGTTATTTGTATTATTTTACTCGGTGTATACCCGAAACAACACACAATTTTAGGAAGAAGCACGAATTACTTCTATAAATAGATTATCAGGAACATGCCACATATTATGTATTAGAATCAAATGCACTTATTAAAACTTGATATACAACCACTCCATAGAAAAAACTTGCACCTTTTCCCACCTAACATTGCTAGTGTCACATGGTCCTGTTACTCAGTTGTTTAGAGCATTCGTCTTATGAGCCAAAAGTTGTAGGTTCGAGTCCTACAAGGACCATGTTTCCTACTTTACTTTCCAAAAAAAATTGCTAGTGCTAGAGGAGGGAGAAATGGAGAAGATGCTAGACTTACTATATAAGTTCTTACATTGTTAGCCTCTTCATCACTAAGGGCGACCCTACATAAATTGGGGCCTAAAACAAAAATTTCACATTAGACCCCGATCAATATTTTAGGAAGATAATAAAAGATTATAATTATTTGACATTTATAAAGAGTTGCGGTATGATTTAGTTCTAAAGTTTTAGCAGTTTTGGGATTGGACGGGATCGGACAATAAATTTGATGTTATTGTGAAGTCAGGATCGTACAGATGAATAAATTCATTGAAGTCTTAAAGAAAGAGAAAGAGAGATAGAGATAAGGACAAAGATCACAATGAGAGTATGAGGGAGATAAAGACTAGAAGAGAGGTGGTGAGAATGGAGGAAAAAAGAATGAAAGAAATTTAAGAGAAATTGTTACTTTTAAAGTTAACATTTGTTACTTTTAGGATTTTTTTTAGAAGGTTTTGTAATATTTGAGGGCTTTCTCTAAGGTTTTACATAGATTTTTGAAAATATTATTACATTTTACAACTTTTTGTAAGGTTTTACATTGACTTGTGAAATAAATTGTGCCTTTAACTTGGTTCATTCAATAAGGCCTCAAAACATAAAGTAAAACAAAGGGCTAAAAATTAAATTGGGGGCTTTAGGCGACTATTTTAATGGTCGAGCCCTAGGGCTTGCCCCACCATGTCTCCTCCCATTCAAATTATTGAGGTGTCTGCACATCTTGCAACGATCGTAGTCTCTACACATCCCTCACTATCGAGTTTTTGTCCATGAAACTGATTAGATGAGACAAAATTGAACACTGAATGACATGCAAGGATTAAAAAGAAGGTGGTGTCAAAGTAAAGATGTTAAATTTTTATTTTTTTTAATCTAGGCATTTAATATATATTAAACATTACATATGTGTTATTTCAGACTCATGCTATTTATATGCAATTTTTCAAATAGTACAATCCTTAGGAATTGTAAATATACATAAATCATCATAACTAAATACATCCTTTTTAGCAAACAAATCTGTATATCTGCTTGTCTCCCTCATCTCTTGCTTGACCCACACTTCGTAAAATCTATCAAGTAACCCATCAAGGGTGGCTTGATACACTTTGAGGTCCATTGCAGCGACTCTAAATATAGTTTTTTTTTTAAATTAATTTTAAAAAAAATCCCCGCTTTTTGAGATGGTGATTGTTAGTCAAGTTCTACACTCAAGTTTTAGACACGTATCTCTTCAGTTGATCATTACTAATCCACCCAATTTTTCTAATTTTATGAGATTTATTTTGTTCATTTATCTAAATTTAACCTAATTTTTTTTGTTATGTTGTGTTTGTCACTAGTGACAAATATATTTAAGAATATTTTATTTAAAATTTAAATTTAAAGAGTTTTTAAATTTTTTTCTTCAAAAATTTTCCTATACAAATGTTTGTTTTCTAATTGTTATATTTACAAATCAACCAAACACTTATTTTAAAATTATAAAACAATAAGACTTAATTTATTGCCGAGACCCATGAAATTTAGATATGATACGAGGATTCTCCCTTAACATCGCCTATTAGAAAAAAAAATATAGAGAATCAATAGATTAACGTTTTAGGATTAGTAGACAACTAGGAGTCTTCTTTTAGGATCAGATTTCCCTTTTAGCAGCCCTTTAAATAGGACAATCACACATTTCTCTTGAGAATTAAAGAAGAAGGAAGAATATCAAGGTCTTCTCATACACATTTGAGGTGAAAGGAGACTTGAGATGAGATAGGCAAGGAGCAAAGGGACTGCGAGCGAGGCAAGGCGACACTAGTTGAGGCCAAGGCACCAGTTGGAGGGTGTTGCACTGGAGGGTGCAATGGAGGAAGACGGGCAAAGGCGCCCAAATGGCTAGGCGCTAAGTGCTAGGATCCGGGGGCGGCATGGCATTGGGTGCCAAGCTACTAGAGACAGGGGCAGTGTGGCACTTGGCGCTGGGTGGCATATGGTGGGCGCCAAGGGCGCGGGGCTTAGCGGGCGCCAAACATTTTTACATGCAGGCGTGACATTGGGCGGTGGTGACTTAGGTAGTGGGCGACAGGAAAATGAGAGCTCAGATGTACACAAGGGCAGTGCAAGCGAGAGCACGGGTGAGACGCTCGAAGATGGCGTTGGCAGTGAGGTATAGGAAGACAACTAGCCTAGGGTATACGTTGGTGGTGATGATAGAAACAATATTGCCCAACATTCATAATGACACAAACTTCGTGGAAAAATAGTTATTAACGATGATGGATTTAAGGTGAGCACTATTTCCACCACTGTCAATATAGTGTATTCCCCCCCTGTGTTGTGCCTTTGGGTTGAGATGGGCTATCCGACTTCTGATGATTCATCTAGGGACATTGTCATCTATGAAGAGGTGTTAGAGGCCAGTTTTAGATTCCCGATTCCTACGCGTGTGTGTCGTGTTTCAGCTCAATTGTCTCTCATGCTAGCACGACTAGCTCCAAATGGTTTGATTATGATGACGGGTGCATGGCATGGGCGCCTCTCCTTGTGAAATTTTTTTTGCCTCCTATATGTTACAGGAGAACCCCACTCCCATTTAAGGTTGGCATCATTTTTCTTTTAGGACATGAAAGTTGATTACTGGACTACGGTCCAACTGTTATAGTTGGAAGACTCAATTTTTATTCCTAGGAGGAGAGTGGGCTACTGAGGAGGATTGCACTTTGGTTCCAACAAGATGAGGTGCACCCATGAGGATAGGTATAAATCCTCCTTTTCTTATTTTCATTCATTTGATGTGTTATTTACATCTTCACCATGCTTTTAGCTCTTTTTTAGTCTACCAGAGTTGTAAATATATCAGGGGAAAAGGCTTCAGGCTATGAAGGTTCACTCTATTAAGGATTATATGGTTCTCATGGCAGGAAAGGGTTGAAATTTCTCCCTTAGGAGTTGCTTCTATTCCATCTTCTCCATAGGCTCGCAGCTCCTCTTTCAAGGAGGTGTGTAATTTTTGTAGTGAATATGATGGTATTTTCAATTTCTAACAATGCTCCCTTGACTCAGGCTCCATAGTAAATAGATCAAGGGTAGAGGCTCTCTACTTCGCCAGGGCTGCGTTGGTGACTCCTCCACCTATGAGGGTAAGGTTCGATGATGCCCCCAAAGCTTCCTTAGAGGTGCCTTCTCCACCTGCTCCAATTATCCAGGCATCTCCCTTGGCTATTCCGCTAGTTAGCGCATCTCTAGAAGCTAGGATTCCTTCTTCTGTACAAATCGGAGGGTCGTTTGCTTCTCCAGTGCTCAATAATGGTCCAGTGTCCATGTTTTGAGACATGAATTTTGCTAAGGATCGACTCTCAAATTTTGTGTCGCCCATAGACATTAGAAAAGTTAGTTATCAAGATGCCAATTGTATTATTGATACCATGATAGAGGGCTTGACCAGGGTAATCATCTATACCTCTTTTCTATAGAATTTTATTCCTCGCATCTTTTGATGACACTGACCTATTTTCTCTTTTTTGCATGTTTGTAGGTGTCCACTGCTGCTATGTGTGTTTTTGCGAGGACCAACCAGCATAAGCGTGTATCGATGACTTTGATGAGGGAGAGGCAGCCACTAAGGGCTATTGAGGAGTAGTTGAAGGTGGCTCAAAGAGAGCTATACCTCTTGAGGCAAAGCTTTTGGCTACTCGTGAGAGAGCGGCAAAGCTAAAGATTGAGGTGGAGCTGTGGGTAGCTTATGAGAGGACTATCGTAGCAAAGGCAGAGTTTTACATAGCTCATAAAGGGCTACCAGAGTAGAGGCAGAGCTTTTGGGTAGCTCATGAGAGGGCTACTAGATTAGAGGCTGACTCACAGAAGATGGAAAGAATGAGGGAGGTTGCAGAGAAGGTTGTTCATAACATTCAGAATAGCGAAGCAGCAGATCAGGAAGCAGTGAAGAAGGCGATGACAATGAAAGTGGCCAGAGGGCTGAGGAAGATGTTTGATAGATTTCATCTTTACATTTTCCCTCTTTTTTTTATCTATGCTTTGTTTCTGAACTTTTTATGAAATGAAAAGTAAGACAATTTCTGTGATGAATCCTTGAGGCTTTATTTGATAACTACATGTGATAAACACCGATGGGTATGTGGCCGTTCTACTACCTTTATTTTGTCACATTATTGGTAATACTTCTTCAGGTGTTTAGCATTCCATGGATTAAGCAAAACTTTTTCTTCAGAATTTTGGATTCTATAAGTGCCTAGTCTCACAATCTCTAGCATAATGTATGACCCCTCCCAGTTTGGTATTAATTTCCCCTTTCATGAGTCCTTGTTGGCTAGTATCACCTTTTTAAAGACCAAGTCTTTAGGTAAGAAGGAGCGAGGTTTCACCCTCAAGTTATAGTATTTGATCTTGCGACGCTTGTACTCTGCATTTCTAATTGTGGTCAACTCTCTCTCTTCTTCTATCAAGTCAAGGTTGAAGCCAAGACCTTCTTCATTTTTGTTAAGATCATGGCGTTAGAACTTTAGTGAGTGGACTCCAATCTCGACAAGTATGACTAATTCAATGCCCAAGGTGATGGAGAAAGGAGTCTTTCTAGTAGGGCTCCTAGGTGTTGTCTGTTATGCCCACAACGTCCCTGGGAATTCTTCTACCCATAGTTCTTTGGCACTCTCCAACCTAGCTTTTAGATTGCATAATATGGTTCTTAAAGTGACCTCAGCCTATCCGTTTGCTTGGGGATGGGCTGGACTGGACTGGGGTTATTTAATTTGAAAGTTGGTTCAAAAAGCATTGAGGAGCTTGTTATCAAATTGCTTGGTGTTGTCACTTACTATGGTGTGGGGCACTCCAAATCTACACACCATGTTTTGTACATTATCCTAGCCAAGGGCTCAACTTCTACCTATTTTGTGAAATAGTCGATGGCTAACATGACAAATTTGCACAGGCTTTA